ATCATGTTTTATGTGTTTGGACTATGCATAGCTTCATCAGTTTCTTATTATGTCTTTGCTGTTTCCCCTTCCCCTTGAGAATTATCATTCTGTAACTAGGGCCTCCTAATGAAATAAAAAGAGGAGAACAGCCTTGAGTCATCAGAACGTGTGGAGACTGTTGGTTCTGATGCCCACTGCCCGTTCTCCTCATGAGTAAAACTGAATTAATCTCTTGTCTTTCTTCTTGTTTACAATGTTTAGGTGGGTTTAGACATAACAATAATAATGCTGAACTGAACATGTTTTATTTATGAAAAGTAGAATGAACGCTGTTTGACTGTTTTAAATGTTTCATGATGAACTTTATTGTGGATGCTGATGTCATGTTGTTGTCAGAGATGCTGTAATGTCAATAGTTTATTTCATGTGTGTTGTTCTGCCTGAGGTTTGCACATGGAAATGCAGCTAAATCTGGCACAGAGCATCTTTTCTCTGTCAGATTAATGTTTTCTGTGCACTGTCAGTGTTTTAAATAAATAAGAAGTAACAGAATTATGACTTGAGTTAAACTTTTGGCTCCTCTGTCCTCACTGTAAACCTGAATAAGTTACAAGAACTCAAAAAAACTGAGGCAATCGATTCTTTCAAATATCTGAAGTTCACAGGATCTTGGCTCGATCGTTCTCCACAACCACCAAGACTCTTCACTGTTCACCTCAAACCACCACGAGAGAATGAAACTTACAACGATACATATTTTGTAACTAATTTTGTATTTTAAGTGTATCTCTAAGTATGTTCTAATATGTTTATTTTCAGGGTGTAAAGTCACTAACAGTAAATATTTAAATCTGAACTGAACTGAGGCCGATGTAGATGTTTCAGTGTTTGATGTGTGTGACCATACCAGTTTGTCAAAGCCTGATCCCGTCACACACACACACACACACACATACATACACACATACACACACACTCTTTGTCTGCTATGGTGGTGTTTACATTTGTGTTGTGTTGTTCTGTTTTGCACTTATTGTATCGTCCTGTCTAATGTCTGTTGCATGTTTATGTTGCAAATGGAAAAAAAAAAACAAAAAAACAACCTTAACCCCAATAAAAACACATTTATCTGTGTTACATTATGAACTGCAGCGACAGCGCCCTCTGCTGGCGAACACAGGCATGACACTGATGATGTAGTTTTGTCCTGCCCTGAACTCCCCCATCAGCGGGACTGTGGAGGAGAGACACATTTTCAGATCTTTTCTTCTTTTTGGGCGTGTGGCTGAAGTCAACGACAGAGTGTGAAGTGTTTTTATGAAGAAAAGCAGGAAACTTCACCAAACATGCTGCAGTTTTATTTATTTCTCCTGATACTGATGTCTGTATTTACATGTTGTTTTTCAGAAGGTAAGTCCCACACATAAACTAAATCTGTGCGTCATTGTCCTGTTTTCTCTGTTCAGTCTGTTTGTGTTTGTGTCTCGTTAAAGTTCACGTGACTCTAGATTACAGGTGTTGTGTTTTCATGTGACTGTGGAGTAACGTTTGTAACTTTGTTCTACTTTAATATTTATGGAAATGAAACAGAAATGTCACTTCTTTCTCTGTGTGTGAATCATTAATAAGACTTCTGTAATGGTCCCTGCAGTCTCAGGTTTATCACATTATTGTAGTTTAACTCATTTATTTTTAAAGATGATGTTATTTTTCAGATAAAACTGTTAAAAAAGACAAAGGCTGCGTGTTTCAGATGATTAAAAAAAAACACGCTTAAAAAACACTTTCGGTTTCACTGTGGATCTGTGATGTTCTGGTTCCATCTAGTGGTGCACACAGGTACTAACCCCAGACATGAAAACACTTTGACTCACACTCGTTTGGTTTGAACATGTTCACTTCTCTTTAAATATGATGAAAGTGAAAGGTCCAACACAAACCCACAGAAGAATAATTATGATTTTAAATAATGAAACAGATTTAGATTCAACCTGAAGGACACGAAGAGCTGCACAAATGTATTTTGTTTGTGAATCCAAAACCTGCTCCAGGACCCAGAGACACTGAAGGGTCAAATGCAGAGGACATTTGCCTCACTGGGGTTTCTGAGTGTGTCTCTGAGCTGGTTCACTGCAGAAGGACTCTGAGCGTCTCATGTCTTCTCCCTCAGACGCTGCTGTCTCCTGTGTTCTTCTGGAGACCTGTGTTCTGCCCTGCAGCTTTGAGTCTGGACCAGACCCTCTGATCCACTGGACCAAAGAACCTCATGATCAAACTCCAGTTCATATTTACTATAAAGGTCAGAACCAGTTTCATATCCAGCACCAGAACATTAGAGGTCGGGCCTCTCTGTTTGTGGAGGAACTGTCCACAGGAAACGCATCACTGTGACTCTCAGGGGTCAAAGTTCAGGATGAAGGAAGCTACAGGTGTCAAGCCAATGCCATCGGCAGCCCCAACATCACAGACTCTTATGTGGATGTGTTTGTTTGTGGTAAATAATGAGTATTATTTTGATAATAACATATGTAAGAGTGTAAATGTGGTTTGACAGTGAAGCGTCTCTCTGTAGCTCCAGCTCCAGTGTCTCTGCAGCAGCAGGGGCAGGAGCTCCTCTGTAGATCTGAGGGAGTCTACCCCAAACCCTCAGTGTCCTGGAGCCCTCCCTCCTCTGCAGCTCTTACCACGGTGACCCCCTCAGAGGGCGGAGTGTGGTCTGTGCACAGCTCTGTGTCTCTGCCTCACAGCCCTCCACATCAATACAGCTGTAATGTGAGCAACAGCAGGGGCAGCTGGAGGAGCGCCACCTACAGGAGGAACAGACACATTGATTATCACACAGGTTTGTGTTTAGGATCAATTATAAAGAGTTCTGTCTTATTTTAATATTTTTACTTGATCCTTTTGTTTTGTTGTTTTAGATGTTTTAGATTTTGTGACAATCTCCTGCACTGAACCCTCTGCTCCAGTGAAGAGTCTCATTTGGAGGTTCAACCAGAGTCAGATCATTCTGAGTCTGGTCTGGACCAGAGTCGGTCTACACTGAGTCCTGGAGACAGTTTGTTGTTGGAGTCACAAAGTCCAACAGTCTGATCCTGAAGAATCTGACCAAAGAGCAGCTGGGCCTGTTCTCCTGTGAACTCAAGACTGAACAGGAGAACTTTATTATCCTCACTGAACTGAAGGACAAATAAAAGGTAAGTGTGAGCAGTGACTCCTGTTTTCATTTAAACACAGAGAATTCAAACACTCTTTTCTTTCTGCAGGAAAACCCTCAGATGTGTGGATAATTATAGTTGTTTCAACTGTATCCATGATTTGCTTGTTCACCACTCTTTTCGTCTGTTGGAAACGTCCCTGGGTGAGTAGATCTAGTATCAGATCCAGTTTGTTTGTGTTGTTCTGTCAGGACCAGAGCAGTTGAACCCTGGCGTTCTCTTTGAAAAGCATCTGGAGCCTCGTCACAGAAAATCACCTTCAAGTTTGTGAAGGACCAATCACAGTCATTTATCTGCAACATGTGAGCTGCTGTAAACGCAGGAACAAGCCTCCTCAGATATCTCTGTTTCATGGAGTGAGACTTTAGAACACCTTATTGTCTTATTAAGGCCTTATGAACCTGGTGTTCCTGTTTCTTTGTCTCCTGATGATCTGAAGCTCTGTCTGTGGCTCAGTTCTCTGTGTCATTTTTCAGACATTTTAAAATCACTTCAGTCTCATCCAACAAAAGCATCAAAACAAACGTTACACTTTTGTACAGCGGAGAGTGTGGATGGACTAGTTTCATTGGTCTGTCAGGAGTTGCTTTGATGGATGAGAAGAGCGTAAACAGTCCAGTCTTACATGTTCATGTTTTTGTGACCTGAGGAAGGCCACAGGAAGCAGCTGAAACATGTGAGGCAGGTGCACACACGGTTTAAAGCTGAAGACAGAATGAAGCTTTACCAAAGCTCATAACCCTGTAGCTCCGACTCAAAGAGCTTCTGAAAAACACGGGATTCTTGGATGAGTTTAAAGTTCAGATTTCAGTCTCTGATGTGAATGCTCCTGGACTCAGTCTTCACTTTTAAACAGAAACTGCATGTAGCGCCCACTCCGCCCACTGTGTGGCGCTATGTCTCTGTGGGCTCTTCTTATATGTTCCTGACACAAATCCAAACGTGATCTCACACTTTATGAAATGTGTGTCGCTCAGAGGCAGTGTCTGTGTGAAATGTGTTAAGAACAGATCCTTGTGTCTGTGGAACACAAACACTCACTCACACTTCTTCTCTTTACAGGAAAAAAGACAAGACTGCATGAAGTGGAGAAGGTATTTAAGGTATTTGAGTTGAACAGAATCTTTCTATTTTAAGATTTTTATAGCAAATGTTTCGCTGTCTCACGTCTCCTCTCGGTTTCATGTTATGTTTGATAAGATAAAATAATCCTTTATTGTCTCCCATGAGAGAAATTTGTCTTGGGACAGGGGGTAACATGCTTTATTAAAAAAACAGGACAACACAACACAAAGCAGCACATAAACAAACACCATAGAACAAAATAAATATGAGACCAAGTAGTAATGTGTGAGTGTTTTCTGTTTGTGCCTCTGTTTAATTCTGCTTTTTGGGCAAGTCGTTATTGCAGATGACCCTAACTCTAACCCTAAAAAAAACCCCAAAAAAACAAACACAAATCTGTACCTGAACAAGACTCATTTTAGCTCCTTGTCTTTATTAAATCTCATTGACCTACAGAATGTTGTGAGACTCAGCAGTATTGGGTTGAATATTTAAATAAAATAAATTATATACCTTTCTACCTACCTAACTCACTCACTCACTAACTCGGTAGATAATAATTGATTAAACCGTCTTCTAAATACCCAGATTTGTGTTTGATTCAGGACACAGCGCAGATGTGCTGTCGCGCTGCGTCCTGCAGGTGGCGCTGCGGAGGCGTCACGGCGCAAACTCCACAAAACAAAACTCCACAGAAGAACCCCGGAGACGGCTGCGTGTGCGCATGCGCGGCTGAACAGTGGCGGAAGTAGAGTTTGCTGCACGCTCAATGAAACGCGCCCAAAACGCTCCTGAAACGCGCTGAAAATGTGGAGGTTTGTGCCCAAACTGCTGCTGCTGGTGCTGCTGGTTTTCCCGGCGACGCTGCTGGTGCGAGGTGAGTCCTTCAGGCCGCTAAAGCCTCAGTCCGCGCGGCTCTGGAGGCGCTGTTAGCTGTTAGCCGTTAGCCGCGGGGACAGGCCGCTGCTCCGGCACGTGCCGCAGCGCGAGCCTCTTTATGTCTCTAAAAAAACGAACTTTAACCACAGAGAAAACAGTGTGAACCCGCCACACCTCACCCCAAACACCTCACCCCAAACCCGACCAAAAAAACCCCCGAAAAAACCTCCAAACCCCCCGAAAAAAACCCCGAGCCCCGCGGCGCGTTACACTGACGTGTCCTTAGCATTAGCATTAGCGGCTAAAGCTAAGATCCGCGTCTGAACTTGTCGCAAAACAACAGTTATTTCCATTTGTACCGCCTCCAAATCCAATTCTCAATTTCTCCACAATAAAGAAAATAAAAAAAAGATCTACATTTTTCATAATCAAATCAGATTGATGTTAAAACAGTGAGTCTGTTTGTGTTTAGATGCTCCTCATGTTTGTGCAGGGAGCGCCTTCAAACTGCACATTATTGTTTATTCTTGTTTATTATTCTTTATTCGTGTGTTTTCGTGTCGTGCATTTTGGGAGGATTTACGTCGTTGGTGATGAAAGTGAGATTAAGTGAAGCTAAAAATCATAACAACGTGACGTCAGAGTGACGTTTGAGTCCCGAGTTAAATCAAAGTTTTAAAGTCCAGGGGTTTTTAAAGTCCAGGGGTTTTAAAATAAAGATCTAAACCAAGAGCCACAAAATCCTTTTGACTCTAAAATGAGGAGAACACGGCAGATATACATATATAATATATGTATAGGTAGATGTAGAAATATGTATATATTTTTTACCTGTATGAGTCGTGTCATTTAGTCCAACAGAAGCTGAACCGCATCAGTGCAGAGTGAGCAGTTTTTATCATCATCATGTCATTAGTTTATGTAAATGAGCCATGTGGTTTTAAGTTTAGTTTCTGACACAAAACAAAAACAAATGTGACAAAGCTGCATTAAACACATTATTACTCAATGTTTATTGAAACAAATGAAAGTGGAGAACAGGAAATGTGTGAAGAGCAAATGTAGAGACGACCAATCACAGATCTTATTGTCTACATCATTTTGACATACAGAACACGCCCAGTACAACGTCACTGCAGAGTGTCAATATCAAGAGAAAGAACACGGTGCTGGCGGTGGTGTTGTGTGACATTGTGCGTCCGTGTGTGTTCGGTGGTGGGCGCTTTGTGACGCTGTGTGACATTGTGCGTCTGGCTGTGGCGTTGTGTGGCTTTGTGTGACGTTGTGCGTCTGTGTGCCTCCAGCGGTGGTGTTGTGTGACGTTGTGCGTCCGGCAGTGGTGTTGTGTGACGTTGTGCGTCCGGCAGTGGTGTTGTGTGACGTTGTGCGTCTGTGTGTGTCTGGAGATGGTGTTGTGTAACGTTGTGCGTCTGTGTGTGTCTGGAGATGGTGTTGTGTGACGTTGTGCGTCCGGCAGTGGTGTTGTGTGACGTTGTGCGTCTGTGTGTGTCTGGAGATGGTGTTGTGTGACATTGTGCGTCCGTGTGCTTCCTCAGAGCCGCTGGCGTCGGCTCAGGACCTGACGGAGGACGAGGAGGCCGAGGCTGTGGATGAAGACGTGGTCGATGACGTCGCCGATGACGTCACGGACGATGCGGTCGCGGACGAGGAAGACGACGAGGCAGAAGTGGAGGACGATGAGAACGCGGAACTGGTGAGGAAGAGCGGCCGAGGTCGGTCGGTCTCTGACGGGACGAATCCTGATCTGACGTTTGATTTGTTTTTGTTTTTCAGGCAGAAGATAAAGAGGACGAGGAGGAAGAGGCTTTGGTGGGAGAGATGAAGGCTTCTCCAAATGCAGACACCACCATCCTCTTCGTCAAAGGAGAAGGTGCTGGAGGACGGGAGGGCATCTGACACATTTGTTCTCCTCTTCCGCTGTTTTACTTGACACATTTTTTTTTTTTCCTTCAGATTTTCCCGCCAACGACATCGTGAAGTTTCTGCTCGGATTCACGAACAAAGGGACAGAAAACTTCATCGTGGAATCTCTAGACGCATCGTTCCGTTATCCTCAGGTGACCTCCTCCTACTTTCTCCTCTCCTCTCTTTTCTTTGTTTCTTTCTCTTTCACTCTCCTTTTTCTCCTCTCTTTCTTTTTCTCTCCTCAAATTTCACATTAAATCAAATTTATTTGTACAGTACATTTAAAATCGCCAAAGTTGATCAAAGTGCTGAACAGTGAAATAAAACGTAAAACAGACAAATCAAGGAGAATAATAATAAATATGTATATAATAATAATTAGTCACTAAAAGCTGCTGGTTCTTTTGGCTCCCAAGTGGCTGTTCAGATTGTTTTGTTGCAAGCAGGACTAAAGCACGTCTAAAGCAGGACTGAATCAGGACTGAACCGGGTCTGAACCAGGACTGAAAAAGGACTAAACCGGGACTTATTTATTTTATGCTAAACTACAGCCAAATATGCTCCTTTTTTTTATCCTATGTACACGCAAATTTCTCAAAGTTTCGTTTTTAGCCGCTGCCGCTGTCAAACCACGAGTCTGCACGCAGCGTGAAGAGAAAAAAAGTGAGAGAAAGAGAAAACACGACTCCCAGTAAGGATCAGGCTCCCGTCGTTCGCTTCAAAGAGTCGGTTCTAAGAGTCATTTCGTTCGCGACTGACCCATAACTAGTAAAGAAACAATCGCTATTAGCCTTTAGCTGTAAATACGTGCGCGCCGCGGTAATTAATTATATGCGCAAATGTCATAATTCACACGTCTATTCACAGCTCATTTACATATCAATGCTGGTCCAGTAACAAATATACGGCCAATGTAAACACTTTACAATAGACCAATAGAAAACAGTCTGTTTATGTGCTTGAGCTACAGCAGCTAACCCATAACAAATGACAAAAACTAGCTTCAGAGTCGACATATTTCCAACACTCACCGCTCACACAGGCTCCTCCTCACATCACAAATCTGCACTAATAAATGTCCTTTTAATCCAGACTCAAACCGATTGTCTGTAAAAAGAAAATAATCTCAGTGTTGCGCACGGCTGCCGGTGTAAACAAACACACGTGAATGACGCGACTCTGTGGTGTGTTCAGGAACAGTACGGACACACACAGACAAATGACTCCGTAGATAAATACTGATGCGGAGCCACATATGAGGACATTTATCTGTCTGTAAATTGGATTAAATGAACAGAATGTAGAGAGTCTAAGATTTTTAACGATGTATCACATGCCCACGTGAAATATCGGCCCCTATCAGCAAGCATATCGGCCGATATGCCTCCAGGTGCCCATATCAGCCGATAATATCGGCCAACCGATATATCGGTCGGGCTCTAATAATAATAACAGCAGGGGGCCACGTGTCTCTACATGACTCTGGGCAAATGTGTTGGAAAAAAGGAGCGTTTTGAGCGAGGATTTAAAGTGACTCCAGTGTTTGTGCAGCTCTAATGTACAAAGTGTTTGACAGTCATGGACCCACCACAGAGAAGGTCCTAACTCCTCGGCCTGGTCCTCGGCCTGGTCCTCGGCCTGGTCCTCGGCCTGGTCCTTGGGACAGCAGGAGGAGCAGGTCTGCAGAGCACAGACGTCTGGATGGGACATGAGGCTGGAGGAGTTCAAATAAATAGGGCCCATCTGATGCAAAATCAACTTTTCAGATCTTTCTACCTTCTCAGAGTGATGTGTGGGCCTTGTATTTGTTGCTGTAGTGGTTTTTAGATTGATTTGGTGTTTTTTTTAACAAATTGCAGAGTATTTCTTCCACCCTCCCACGTGACAACGAACTGAAGCTGCTACAACAATGACACAGCCTATGACACGTTTGACGTAGCAGAAAGTGCTTCACACCCGACCTGCTCCACCTCCACCCCCTCCACCCCACATCAGCTGACAGTTCCCACATGAACACTTAAACAAAAGCAACAGTTCACTGCAGTACACTGCAGTGAACACGATATAATAAGTTTATCGACTGGTGTTTATTAAAACTTTACCAATCAGTAATGTTAAGTTGATGTGGACTCGGTGCTTGAGCTTCGTGCTCCTCAAAGTCCTTGTCCGATTCCGGGTCCAACACATGCGGCTGAACGCGCTGTATCTCCATGATGAATAAAAGTTTATTCCTGCCTCTATCAGGGTCACGCCTGTCTCCCCCTCCCTCCCTGAGACGGCGGAGGAAGGGCGGCTCACACGTCGCCTACGTCACGTTTGGAGGGCGGAGCCTGTGCTTTCTCAGGACGGGCGGGGGGAGGAGCAATAGTCGGACTTTCATAGTTCCTGGTTTGTGACTGTGTTCAAGAAATCAGTAAAATTTCAGAACTATTGTGTCATGGATGTTCCAAAACCCAAACTGTGCAGAAGATATAACGTGAAGAGAATAATTTTACATCAGATGGACATTTAAGACTCAAACATGATCATTACAATTTTAAAATGGATTCTAAAATATCCAAGGAGCCAATGCAAGGATTTAAAAACAGGAGTGATGTGGTCCCTCCGCTTCTTTTCTCCTCTTTCTCTCTCCTCTCTGTCTCTTTCTCCCTCCTTCCTCTTCTTTCCTCTCTCCTTTTTCTTTCTTTCTCTCCTTCTTTTTCTTTCTCTCTCCTCTCCTCCTCTCTTCTCTCTCTCTCTTCTCGTCTGTTTTGTCTGTTTCAGGATTATCAGTTCTCTCCTCACGTTTCTCTCTCCGTTCTTCTCTTCTGTTTCAGGATTATCAGTTCTTCATTCAGAACTTCACGGCGCTCCAGTTGAACACGGTGGTTCCTCCGAGTCGTCAGGCCACGTTCGAGTATTCGTTCATCCCGGCCGAGCCCATGGGGGGGCGCCCTTTCGGTCTGGTGGTCAACCTCAACTACAAAGACGCCAACGTGAGTCTGTCGCTTTTACTCTGCTCGGACTTTACAGCCGACGTCACGAGCTTTTGTGTCGATGTTTTGCCACGAGTTTTAATGTCGATGTTTTGTCACAAACTTTAGTCTCAATGTTTTGTGTCGATGTTTTCAGGGAAACGTGTTCCAGGACGCCGTCTTTAACCAAACCGTCACCATCACTGAGAAGGAGGATGGACTGGACGGAGAGACGTGAGACTCGTATTTATTAGATGTTTGTTAGATGCTTGTGGATGTTTGTGAACGTGGTTCTGTGTTTCTGCAGGATCTTCATGTACGTGTTCCTGTCGGGGCTCGGGCTGCTCGTGGTCGTGGGTTTGCATCAGCTGCTCGAGTCCAGAAAGGTACAAACACTTGAACCTTCTACATGAACACGTCACAGCTGAGTCAGGTCTTCAGCTCAGAGCTTTTCTCTAACGATGGTCCTCATCACAAGAGAAGAAGAAGAACAGAGATCTGGACACAGATCTGAGTTTAGACTTTTGATGTTCACCAGAGTGACCTGAGTGTGACTGGAGGAGGCGCTACAGACTCATAAATGACACATGCCTGAGGGGTTGGGGGGTCGGGGGTGTATTGCTCTGTGTGGATATTCCGACTCTGTTGTTGTTACATGATTCTATTTTTTCCTCGTGTCTCAGCGTCGGCGTCCGGCGCCTAAAGTGGAAATGGGAACTTCAACTCACAACGACGTCGACCTGAGCTGGATCCCCCAAGAGACGCTCAACCAGATCAGTGAGTACGACTACACCTGTACTACACCCCCACACCGCCCCCTACAGTCACTACACCTGTACTACACCTGTACATCGCCCCCTACAGCAACTACACCTGTACTACACCAGATCAGGAGATGTTGTTGCTTTACCTTGAACGTTCCACAGTGTGACATTCATTTGTCTTATAATTCCACCTTCACCTTCTCGTCTCCATGAAGACGAGTCGGCTCTGTGGAGAGGAGACACAGACACAGACTGTTTCGGCCTGTGTGCATTTCCAGGTAGAGCATTAACATCTCCATGGAGACGAGCAGCAGGAAAGTGACACAGTGATCCTTTTTTCCCCTACAGATTTTTACATTTTAATGATTTTATTTTCACGCTCTTCGGCCGCGTCTTTGGAGAATTAAACTGAGTGAATCACTTTATGACCAGATCAAAACTCTCTCAGAACGAATAATAATCATAATATTATTATGATTATTATTATTAATAAAGTGTTAAAATCCTGTAAACAAGTTTTTAGCTGCGCTGTTTTTCTCTGCGTCTTGTGGTGCGTCCGATTTGTCCAGTTTGGTTTCTTGTGTCTCGGTCGATTTATTCACCAAACTCGTCCCACCACACAAACTTTATTTATAAACCACTGTAAAAAAAACCTCAAACGAAAAATGAACAAAAACACAAAACCCATAAAACAAACTGATCAACGACAAAAGAGAAATAAGTGGAGAGAAATCGCATCTTAACACATGTACAACCCCCCCCCAACGAGGCCTGTGTCTGTGTGTGTCTCTGTGTGTGTGTGTGTCTGTGTGTGTGTGTGTGTGTCTGTGTGTGTATGTCTCTGTGTGTGTCTCTGTGTTTCGTGTGTATGTTTTGTGTGTGTGTGTTCTATGTGTGTGTTGTGTGTTTTGTGTCTGTTTTGTGTGTTTGTGTGTGTCTGTGTGTCTGTGTGTGTTGTGTGTGTGCGTTTTGTCTGTGTGTGTGTGTTTTGTGTCTGTGTTGTGTGTGTTGTGTGTGTGTGTCTGTGTGTGTTGTGTGTGTCTGTTTTGTGTCTGTGTTTTGTGTGTGTGTCTGTGTGTGTTGTGTGTGTGTGTCTGTGTGTGTGTGTGTGTGTGTGTGTGTGTGTCTGTGTGTGTGTGTGTTTGCTGCCCTCTGGTGGTGACGTTTCTTTCTCTCTCTGTTCTTCTCACTCTTTTCTTCTGTTTTTCTTCTTCTTCTGCTGCGTCCACAGTGCAGAGTCGCAGAGGTGAGCCCCGCTTCACTTTCACTTTCACTTTCACCACAAAACTGAACAATCTCACAAACAACACGACAAATCTGAATTTAAACTCAACACTCGTCCGTTTCAGAACATGTTTGTAAAGTCTGAGGCCACAGAGCCGCAGGGAGGGAGGGAGGGCATCTGACACTTTGGTGGTTTGTGGGATTGTTCGGTGTTTTTCACGTGTGTGAAGTCGCCTCCATCGAACGCACAACTACACAACAACAGTGATGTCGGTCGTTTGTGTTTCGTTTGTGCCGTTTCAGTTTTGGAGACATAAATGATTCTTTTAAAAAGTCAAACTGGAGTCAACAGCTTCAGGAAACTTCAAAATAAAATCAAACCTCACAGGAGTCGGACGTTTGTGTTTCGTTTTTGCTGTGACTGTTTGTTTGTAAAATTATGATTTATCTTTTATATAACAACACCAGGAAGCACCAAATGAACATTTGTGGCCCAAATAAAAATTAAACATTTGGCCAAAAACCAAAACCGAACATCACATGCAGTGAATTTTTTCCTGTTTTTTAAATTTAGCGTAAATAAAATAAATGTTTACAGATGTTTTTAAAAGAAAGGAGAGAAACTCCTGGAGATATTTTGGTGTAACTTTCATTACAAACGCCAATTTTTTTCTCGCTCTCAGACACTTGAAAAAGTTTCCACCCTGTCGACTTTTTAAAGAAGACGTCAGATCCGTGACGACGTCACACGTCACAGTTCAGACTTTTACTCCACCGAAAACCCAGTGTGACTTTTAATTTTTTCAATATTCAGCTGAATATATTTGATTGTATTTACGGAGGCACTGAATCTTCTGCAGATTTTTCCACAACCTCAGAACCGAGTTTAGCAAAATAATAATTTTTATCATAAACTCTCACAAATAAAAAGAGCCACAGCACAAAACAAATAAATAAAAAACTAAATAAAACTGTTCACATCTGAAAAATCAAAATCACACAAACCAAACTTTACAAAACAAAACACAAACGAAACACAAACGTCCGACTCCTGTGAGGTTTGATTTTATTTTGAAGTTTCCTGAAGCTGTTGACTCCAGTTTGACCTTTTAAAAGAATCATTTGTGCCGTTTCAGTTTTGGAGACATAAACGACGCGCAGACGCAGACACAGTTTGGTTCAGTTTTGCATTTGATTCGGGCGACTTCACTGTTGTTTCCGTCTTTTGTTCAAATCTGAATCTTTTGTGACTTTCTCGTGTCTTTTTCTTCATTTCTTCTCGTCTTGTTTTTCCAGACAAAGCTTCTCCGAGACGATCACCGCGGAAACGAAACCAGAAGCGCTCGGCGGGCTCGGACGAGTGACTCCGCCCCCCCGTCGCCGAGGGCAACGCGGGCGCCGACCCCAGCGCTCCTCTTGAACTGTCGCCAGTGCCACGGTGAACGGGCGCCGCCGCCGCCGCGGGCACCGAGGACCGAGGCTCCCGCGCTTCAACCACGTCCAGTTTTTGAATGTTTCTGCATCGACTTCACTGTTTTGGTTCAAATTCTCTCCTGTGTAAGTTTCACTGTTGGTTTTTCTTTTTTTTTTTTTTTTTTTTTATAAGTAAAGTTTTATTTTGCAACATTTCTAATAAAAATGTCCCAGTGTCTCCAAACGTCTGTGGGGTTAAACAGCGGCTGCGCCACGTTTACAGATTCGTCTTTCCTTTTGATTGATTTGAAAACGGCTCAGTGTCTCCCCTCCGTTTGCTCCCCGCGCTGAGTCACTCCCCCTTCAGAGCGCCATCACAACACCACGATGCGACGAGCTGCACTTTCAAGTCGCCGTGTACAGTTTTGTATCATGTTTTTGTACATTTCTGGAGAATTGTCGTGCGGGAGCATGGGGGGGGCGTACGGAGAGATCACTAGATTACTCAAACATGCACTGGTGACTGTAAACCCTCCAAATTGAGCAGTTTTGCAGAATGCCCCGTCTTTAACCTCAGATGTAAACCCGACAGAACACTCCAGAACCTTTCAGATCAACCCGGACTTGAATCATTACTTTAATTTTACTCACGTGTAGTTTTATAAAGTTTTAGAGCATCAGATTAAACATTTGGGATCTTAAAAGTACAAATCGGTTGCGTTCACGTGACGTCCTCACGTGAACGTGAGGGTTCAGATCCTCAGGCAAAGTTTGCCGTTAAAATAAATACGAGAAGTTTGTGGAGCCGATCCCGAAAAAACAAGAGAGAGAAACATTTGTTTGAGCTTCTCTTCGTTTTTAAAGAAATCTCCAAACTTCTGATCCACAGAGTTCGAAAACATCTGAGATTATGACGTTCAGTTCCAGCTCGTGAACACTTTCCATTCAAACCCGAAGTGTGTTTACGTTTGTGCAGAAGTTAAATCGCTGAATCAGGATTTGTGTTTTGTAAAATAAATTAACGCTAGAAATGTACTTTTTTTTTTTGTTTTGTTCCTGTCATGTTTTTGTTTTTTTTCATTGGGCTGATTTGATGATTAAAATCTGATCCTCGGGTCAAATGGGACTTAAAGTGAAACTAAACACAGAAAATCTGCCCACAACTGCAGTTCAGAGCTGCGCAGTGCTGTGTGATGTCACGTAGTACACAGACTGACCTCATTTGCATTAAAATTACCAAAATAAATACGACTGAACACAAAATGAGGCTTAAAAAAAAACAAAAACAAAACCCAGACTGTTAAGTGGCAGAAAAGTGGATTTTGGTGTTTAGTTCGTCTTTAAACTCGTTGCAGTTTCATGTTTTGCTTTTAGATTTCTGCTCATTTTGAATAATTTTGTTATGAATTCATTGATTTTGTGCCTAATTGTTTTGGCTTTGTTTAGTTGTTTTTGAATGAACGGTCTGAAGCACTGGTGTAAATACGAGCGACGAAAAGCAAAAAACAAGGTTTAATTTATTAGAATCGACACTTCGCCAAACTCCCAGGAGAGGGCGCCGGTTACAGTCAGGGC